TACGTTATAAATTATGAACTTAGCCTCAAAATTCTGTCTTTACATCTATGACAGTTTCTTCAGTAAGCTCAGTATCATAGCGCCAACTCTGTAGAGGTCCTCTGACAAGTCCATCCCCTTCATAAAACTCTCATAACCAGAGCACTCCTGTGTGGATTTGACGAGATGCTGCAGTTGTCTGAGCTTAGTAGAAGGTTAATTTAATTGTTTAAAAATTATGAAATGCTTTATTAGCTAAATCATAAAATTTAATATTCCATGTTGTAAGGCTCTAGTGACCTGAATCGTAACTCTTTATGATCCATGGTAAAATAATAATTAACTAATTTATTTCAAATAATTTAGCTTATTTTCCTTATTTTGAAAAGTAAAGGTAGACTTATGATATCACCATGTTGTCTGTGCGTCTGTAGCCCACCCCATGAACTTCTGAATTTCTCAGCTGAGACCATCTAAAAGGCCTACTTCATAAATCTCCCCTCCCCCTCAACAGTCTGTGTTTCTGTATGTGTGTCCCTATATCGCTGCTAGGCAGGGGTTAGGTGAAAAAGTTTCCGCTGTAACGATTACACAGAGACAAGAGAATTATTTTGTTCTTTGTTCTCTATGCGGTTCGTGTAGTCTCAAATGAAAGTAGGGGATTAGTTCTTCTCAGAACTTCTTATTAAACATACAAATATTTTGTCACTCAAGAAGCTGAATCCTTCTTGAGAGGCCGCCATTTGTGAAGCTAATCAAGAATTTCACAGCATTTTATGGAACCCAAATGTTCATTACCGTATTCAAAAGAGCCCTCCAGGTTATTAATTAACTTATCCTGACCCAGATCTATCCAATCCATACCGTCCCATCATATCTCTCTAAGATCCATTTTAATATTGTCCACCCACACACGTCATGATGTTTCTAGTGGTCTCCTTCCTTCTGGTGTTCGCACCAATATGTTATATGCATTCCTCGTCTCCCCCATTCGTGCTACATGACCTGCCCACCTCATCCTCCTTGACTTGATCATTCTAATTATACTTCGCGAAGAATAAAACTTATGAAGCTCCTCATTTTGCAGTTTTCTCCAAACTCCTGTCACTTCATCTCTCTTCCGTCCATATATTCTCCTGAGTACCTCAGTCTATGTTCCTCCCTGAAAGTCAGAGACAAAGATTTCCACGAGCGATGCTATTTATAACCCTTCATTGATTTTATAATTAAAATAAGCAAATCATAATGAAGAAGAGGAGATAAAATATTGAAAAATGAGTCGAGTTCCTGAACTTCAGGACTGTAACGCCATAAGTCTCTCGCTCTACTAGACTTTCCTTAAGATATTGTGATTTATCTTTAGAATGTAAATAATGTAGTAACTCTCAAATAACCTTACAAAGCTAAATGTTATATTACTATTTTGATATTAAAAAGTATCCATGATATCATAAAACAGACTTAAGGCGCAATGTATCAACTTTCATCCTGTGCCTGTAATATGAAGCGTGTCTGATCTGCAGCAGAAGGAATGACACTTCGTCAAATTATTGTTTGACGTTACTCCGCGTGAGCGGTTATTAGAGATTAGGAAACGATGTTGAAATACAGAGTGTTCTTTAATTTATTTACTGTAACCTTCTTAAAATTATTAACGTACTCATTATATTGTAATAAGAAAGAATGTGGGAAGAAAATGGAATTACAAACTTAATAACATAATTGAGAATCGAATGTGTCAGTGAAGTAGATGTAACAAAGATTTAATAAAAAAACAAGAGATTCTGGAAATAACTAATAGCTTACTTTCGTTTGATACGACACGGACCGCAAAGAAAAAGACGCTTCAAATAATTCTCCTACTGTCGCGTTAGTAATCGTTACCGCCATAACGTTTTTACCGAGCAGTTGCCCAGCAACATACGTGTAAAGACACAGACTGATTGGAGGAGTTTACGAAGTACGCCGTTGAACTTGGCTCAGGTGCCACGTTTCATAAAGAGTGTTCACGCATTGAACGTTGATAGGGGGATAAACAGATAGGAAGGAGACTGCATTAGACTTATTTAGGAAAGTAGGCTAATAATGAACGGATTAAATGAGATATCATAAATATCGCTAATCACGTTTTTCCCAGAAAGGAAGATTTAACGTATGGAACAAGGCTAATAGCCTAATGTAGTTGCTCTCTGAAAGTATATGGAAACTGCATATGTGTGTGGCGATTGGTTGGTTGGTTAGCACATTATTTAACATTGTATCTACAATTTAACGTCGGGTGAGACGGTTCCGCCGTTGCGAAATCTCAGTTGTTACTGTATAATTCGAGTACAGGATAATATCTGATTGTTGAGTTTAGCAGTAAAGTTCAGTTAAGTAGATAATTAACAGGGTGGCAGTGGTCTACCGACTGTCATGTGGCCGCGCATTGTCTTGTTGGAGAAGAACGCCGCGCCCCCATTTTCCGTGGCGGCGTTGCTGAATGTTTCGGCGGAGGTGGGGCAGTGAATTTCAGTACCGATCACTGTTGATCGCTGTTGATGGTCGTATTGGGGGGCAGTCAATCCAACAGAAGGATCACCTCCTGCAATGTTGAATTTGAAAGTGTGTAAAATAGCGATAGCGTTAGAATTGAGTGTGATTAAGAGTACTTGTCACCGAAGTGCCAATAAATCCAATCGTCCGATTTAGAACCCCTTATTTTCATCACGCGTACCCCTCTTACACGTGACAATATATTTGACTTTCGCATTTAGGATAACTCCATTCCCAATAAACATGTTTCTTATTAATTTATCGTTGGTGTATTGAACTTTGCTATTTCGGCTGCATAAGTTACTGTGAACTTATGAGGGAGTGCCTCACCTGAATATCAGCCCTACGTACTCCCTTCTTTCCTTATTTACAGACGTGTTACTGATAATAGGGAATGTGATATCCATAGGTGACTCGAAAGTTGTTCACAGATGACCACCGAAAATAACTTTTTTTGTAGTTATTTAAGACACGTGTCCCACGGAAGAATTTATGTTTTCTAAAAAATGAGAAGACAGTTGTGAAATATTGACACATCAACTACTTTAAAGCTTTAAAGATTTGATTCCTTTTCAAAATTATTTATAAAATGTAAGTTCGTATCTCACAGGAAACACATTACGTCTCTGCAGCAAAGACGCTGTTCAGGGAAAATAACTGTTTATAGAACCAACAATACGAAGTATGACAATGCACCACGTAAAGATCGAAGGGAGGGTTTCAGTATGGTAAAATATGTGGTGCACATCGAACCAT